CCTTTTGACAGCAGACAGTTTACTGCTGTTTACAGTATAGGAATTTAATTCTATTTGAATATACACAAAGATACTGTGACTTTTTTCAGGTATCAGTAGTATAATCATATTGAAATGAATTTAGCAACTTATAAATAGTCAAAATTGGAAACAAAGTGAAAATATTCATGTAATGTGAATGTTTGAAGGATTTTATTGTGTCAGTGATGGTGATTTACTTTTCTTAAAATATTGTCTGAAACTTAATTTTCATTAATTTTATTTTAGTGTTTTTTGTTGTTGTTATAATTAATTTTTAATTTATTCTGACATTTACTGATTTACTAATTATTATTAACATTTTTATTTTTTAATTTTATTTCTTGCATGAAATTAATTTATTAACCATTCAACAGAATTGTCCACTTCTTTTCAAAAAAAAAAAAATTCAGTGAATATGAAATTTTATAAAGATTTTATTAAAAACATATTTCATTTTATAATATTTTTAAAAAGAAATATGTATTTTGTGAATAATTATATTATTTATAACAATAATAATACTTTTATTTATTTGTTTTCTCATTCTGTGACAAAATTCTCACTTTAAATTGTAAAGAAAGGTAAATGTAATTTTCTAATAAGCAACTTCTAATCAGATTACTGTATTGTTTCAAGACTATATAGGCAAACTCAGTGGCAGATTATCCTATGAGCAAAAAGAGCAATTGCCTGGGACCCTCACTAACAAGGGGCCCCAAACTAATCATTTTTAAGAAAATATTCCCCCAAAGAAAAATGTCCAAAGTCAACACTGTATATTGGTGCCCCTTAATTTGCCTGGGTCCCATGAAGCTATAATGTGCTACTGAGCAAGCTACAAGATGCAGTTGTTCGAGATTTAGGGTTCCAACTAAATATATGTTCATTTATCATCCAATTTTTTCAAAAAATTCTTTCTAACATAGGACTGCATCTGAAATTTGAGGTAATGTTCTACTGAAATGTAGTTATTTGAAAAATGTGAAAGGGATTTACAGTCAGAATTTCTTAAATATGTAATCATTTAAATGGTGCAAATCACATTGTATTACTAAAATTGTAAATAATACAAAATCAGCTTGCTTGACATTAATTAAAAAAATGTAAATAAAAGAATTTTATACTGACATATTTTGTTTACATCATCACATATTTTAAATTTTTGAAGAAAATAATCCAGAAAGCTTAAGATACAAAATAAAATGTTTTTATATGAAAGTTTCATTATTATTATTTATATGTACAGTACACACACACACACACACACTCACATGTACATCATAATTTCATGAATTTAATTTATATAAATATTGGTTTATTATTATTATTAAACTCTTATTAACTTGCTTTGTAGTGCATAATCAGATCTTGCAACTCAAATTTCATCCACTTCTAATTAAGATAGAAGGATGAAATTTTGAGGATACAATTAAGTCTGATGACAATGCATTTTAATGATGCTTAAAAACATCATTAAAATGCATGGGGCAATCCCATCCCATTATCCTCCTCATTCTGAGACCCACTAAACATAATCAAATGTAGAATTTAATTGTGTGCGCATGTGCATAATTGTAGATTACTACAATACATTTATGATGGAATGGTCCCACTTTCATTGCTACTCCCAAACTCAAAAAACAACCAACAAAAGCACTTTTAAAAAACGTATAATGTATTAAAAGTATTTTTTCGGTGTAAGACTCAATTAGGTTAAACTGCACCAGATGTCAGTAAAAAGATAAATAAATAAGTATTCAACAAATAAATCTAAATATTAGATGTAAAAATAAAGTGCACGGGTTAATGACAGACAATATACAAATACGTGCACTGTATGAGGTTTGTACATATAATCTATTTATTTGTGTAAATAATTGAATATAGTTTTTCATTTATTTAAAAAGAAAAACTGCATTTTTATTACACACAGTTAAATGATGTCAACAGCTTTCATATTTTATTTTAAATTAACTATATCATTTCTGTGACAAGTTTTTTCTATGAGGCTTTGTGAAGGATTTCCTACTTGCCACTTTCAAAAGTTGTAAAGATGTATCACACAATTTGTTGTGTAGATTGCAAGAAGTGTTGCATGCATTTAATTTCTGTATTTACATGTACAGGGTTACATGTGGGGCCCATATTGGAGGATTATATTAACTGTTAGAACTGATATTTATATATTATTATTTAGTAGTATTTTTTGTCAGTGACTATGTATTTAATTTAAATAAAATATCAAACTTCATGACATCATTTTGACTAACATTGTACATCTAAGAATGGAATATGACCTATCTAAAGCTTTATTACAAGTAAAAGAAATTCAATATTTCAAATATACAAAATATATATATATAATAATGATTATTTAACAAAAACTTTCTACTATAAAAAAATAATTTAAATCATATAAAAAAACTAACTTTTAATTATAAAGATATAAGAAATATTAAAGTTTAATGCCAATTAAAAAAACAGAATCTTTTTTATTATAATTTTGATATTATTTACACAATTTCTGCATTCAAATAATATGGAAATATTATTCTAATTATTCTGACATAACACCTTTATTAAGAACATTTTTATATTATATTTGACAGATGAATCATTGATTCTATTAATACAAGAAATCATATTTTCTTGACTTTAAAGTGTTTATTGATCTACTGAACTAGAAGGATTTTAAAATGCACAATAATTGAACATTTCCTGTTAATTTGCTTGTACAATATTATTATTAAAGTAGCCAGACTGGCTGGCTATAAAAATTAAATATAATGATTAATAAATTTGTTTCAGAAGTTCAAAGCAATTTCAATATCTACTTAGTAGTTCCATAAATTGGTAATTGAAAAGTAATACAAACGTATTTATATAAAAAAATAATTTTCCTATTAAAAAACAGAAATTGAAATTTAAGGAAGTAGAATGTATTATCTGCTTTTAAATTTAAAGTATTTAAGAGCATTTGTTTGGTTAAAGTTGAAATTTGTATGTATTTTGTTTTTTGAATTTTAAGCTTCTCATGAAAGGTTCAAGACCAGCTATGATATATTGACATTCATTATGTATTATGGCCAGTCTTGTTTGGAATTTTTCATTTTAAATAAGTTTTAACTTCATTATTTAAATGCTTTTTTGATATTTATAATTCTGACTTAAAAATTATTAATTATAAGAATAACCCAAAATTCAGCATAAAGTAAATAACTTAAACAAACTAATAAGAAACACTAAAGTAAACACAAAAGATTAATCACAACCAAAGTAATAATGTTGTTTTGCATTATATAACACCACAATGTTATAGTTATGTTTCTATATTGCCTACTTGTGATTGTTCTTGTTTTACTTCTGTGTTATGTAAATGTACAGGTAGTCCCCATATAACACGGGAGTTACGTTCTGAAAAATTGCCGCATTATGCGAATCCGTGTTATATGAAACAAAGAACTAGTGCAAAAAGGGGGGGTTAGGTTCCAAAAATTAAAAAACATGCTGTTAAATCCTTATTTAAATTGGATTTATTATTCATTTTTTTCATAGGTAAATTACTTATTTATTATTTAAGTAAATATTTTACCAGAGGATTATTCATTTTATATGATGATCTCAGCGTGAGCATCATCAACTGGTAACATTTTTGGGTGCATTCGTTAATAGCAGTCGCTCTGTAACGGGAGTGCGCTGCATTTTTTAGGCATTTAGGAACGATGGTGAAAGAAAGATGGTGGCTCCCGCACTATCGATAGTATCGTGATGGAGGAATGTATAATTCTAAAATGATCTTTTAGAGGCAAAAGAAGAGTCTCAATTGTAAAATTTAACCATTAAATGGATTATTGTAGAAAGAGCATTCAAAGTAGCCACAAAAACAATTAGAATGCTCGCACAGAGTTACGCAGAAGTATAAAAGAATGCACCCTTTATTACATTTCATGTTGTACAAGGATTTTACACAATTTCCGAACCGTGTTAGAGTGAACCTGTGCTATAAAAGCACCATGTTATACAGGGGATGTTCCCAATTCTCAAACCGTGTTAGAGTGAATCCGTGCTATAGAAGTGCTGTGTTATATGGGGGTTACCTGTACTTAATAAGGAAGAAAATGTATGGTCTTTTGCTGCTAGATTTATTTGTTTGATGAGTAAATACAAGCAAGTACTTTCGAATTATGAAATGTCAAAAGTACTTGCATGTATTTAACTCATCAAACAAATAAATCTAATGCCAAAAGATGTTACAGTTTCTTCCTTATGATATATTTGGCATTGTAAGTGAGCTTATAATGTTTTATAAATGTTCTTATAACTCTATTATTTCAGTGTCTCTTGCTGGTGTTAATTAGGGTAAGTCCAGATTTTGAAGTGTCTCTAGTTGGCATCTTTTTACTATAATTTCATTTTATTAGTAGATACATTCAGTAAATTAGTATTAATGTATGTGAAAATGATTGACAATTGATTTGATATTTGTAAGCATTAGAAAAAAACAATACCAATTGTGATTTATGAGTGACAATTTATCAATTTTTTTATGCACATATTTAACAATATTTTTTTCTAGTGTTATGTGTAAATACATTTAAATTGAGCCCAGATTAAAAACAAATGAAAGATATTGATGTCAAGTAAGCTGAATATATTTACAAATTCACAAAATAAGAAAAATCAATATTTAGTCAGCAAATATTTCAAATTCACGTGTTGTACAGAAAATTCTGAAAAATTACTCTGTTATATTCTATTTTATAAAAAGTTTTTAATTTAAAAGAAGTGACAATCTGTTGAAATCTAGCTTTTGAATGCTTAACAAAATTTAAATGTGTGTTGCATGTGTCTTCCTTTTTCCCTTGCATGTCCCACCTCCACATGGGACTCTACTTACTTCATTCGCCATCGCAACATATTATTGCACCCATGTTCCTTCTACCATGATATCGAAGTCGTCTCGTCGTTTTATCTTACAGTGAAGTATTTACGAGAAGTGACTCCATATTTTCGGAAAGCGTCAGTATTGTCAGAAGTTGGCTGGGATTTCCAGCAAGGTGGATTTTTATCCAGGGAATCGGCTCAGGGTCGGCACAAGATTCCCCGGTCAGACACACGTTACGTACCCCTACTTTTGTGTCATCTGGCAAGAAACTTTACGACTCCAGATGCAGAAAACAGAACCTTTGAAATTCATTCTCCGGATCGTCGTCATGCGTGTGCGCTTCGATGTACTGACAGTGTGCAGTGTTCAGCTTGGTTCAATGCTGTGCATTCTGCAATTAGCAGTCTTATGGCACCTGCTGTGGTGGAGGCTAGCAATTTACTAATTGATGTGTTAGATAATGCAGAATTGAAACATATGGGATGGTTAGCAGAAAAGGTAAATGTTAACTAGATTTATTTCATTGTCAAACAAATGTAAAATTATTAAAAAGTGATAAATATATACAAATCTTTAATGAGAGAATATATAAGTTAAACATCTCATCTAAATTATTTATAATTTTATATAGATACAAATTATTATTATTATTATTATTTTTTTAAATTTAAGTAAAATCAATGCAACATATCTAAAGTAGATTCAGACACATTTCTATAAATTAAAATACTTTGGTTTATTAATTTAAAAATATATATTTGTTTGTAAATTAAATTATAAAAGCCTAAAAGGATGATGATAGAAACAGCAATCATCAAAGATTCAAACTCTTAAATTTGGAAACGCATCCTTTGTTTTTTATTGTTAGAAATTTGATCATTTAATTTATTGCTGATTAATAGGCTTTATGTGTATTTTGAATAATTTGGGTTAATATGACCTTAAAACATAAAAATACTGTTTTCCTAGAGTCAAAACAGTTAAAAATTTAAAACATAAGTCCACTAATTTGAATTTCTTAGGCCCATCTTTAGAGGACCTAAGAAGTTTGAAAGTACTAGTCATGGGCATTCACAGAGAGTCAAATGGGACACCTGCTTCCCTGGAATCAAGTAAAAAATTCCACAAATTATAATTGTAAATGTCATTGATTGTAACCTTACACCCTTGACCATGGGTTGCTTTGATGAAATGTTGTATTTTATAACCTAATTCTGGAGAAAAAAAAAACAGAAAAATTAAATAATTAAATAGAAATTTATTGGTATAATTATTTGTCTCCAAGCTTTGTCTTATGGAAAATTTTTTTGTGCCCATGGTATTAGTGAACTTTTTATATTTAAAATTTTTACCATTTACCATTAAAGCAATATTTTTATATTTACTTGAATTCTTGGCATGTTAATGAGTAATCTTATTTCTAAATTCAAAGTTTTAGTCTTACATATTTGTAATTTATTTTAGATCAGTTGCAGTTTTTATCTTAAATTGTTGATTTTAAAGATATGAATATGAATTGCTTAATTTTTATATCACTATACAAACTTATTCAGTGTGAAGTTCTTAAGCAAACCATGAATATCATCAGATTTTTTTGGAATTTAAATAATCCAGAAAAATTTATAAATTAAAATATTATTTAAAAATTTGGACTAGAGATAGGTAATGTCATCTTCTCATGTATGTTGTAATGATAGACTATAAAAGTTAATTTTTAATTTAAATTTAATAATGAAATTTTTATGGAAAAATTTGATATTAATAGGAATTAAACTTGTAACTGTTGCAAAATAGGCAGATATGTTACCAAGTTACAGTATCAAAGCATTGAAATAACTTTTGCCTTTAAATAACATATAATTGTTATATCTTCTGTCTACTGTCACTGCCTTCTGGGGATATTTCTGGTCACAGACACACTATAACAGTGATAAGCAATCTTTTCTATATGTGGGCCACTAATTTTTTTTTTTTTTTTTGTAGAGTTGCAGCTTTAAATCAGTCAAGTATCAACATACTTCATAACTGCCAGTACACTCGATACTAAAATAATATATACTAGTGATAAGCAAGCTAATATTATTATATCTAGCTTGCTTGTTTACTACTAGTATTATTCTCATCTTTTTGTTGGTCAAGTTTAATTTGAATGTTCTTCACAAATATCAGCTTAATTAGGGTTGCATAATGGCATGAAGCAAAAAATCTATATATATAAAAATGAATGTATGTGTGTGTGTGTCTGTCCTTCATGCATTACCACACTGTTTATCCAATTGCTGTGAAACTTTGGGAAGTTGTTTAATATACTCCGGGGAAGGTTTGTGGCATAGTACGATTGCCATAAAACTTCGGAAAGTTTTTTAATACATTCCCGCGAAGTACATTTATCCTACGATAGATGGCGCGCGTTTACACGAGCATTCGAGCACAGTGTGTTCGATCGATTTCAAATTGTGAAGACCATTTCCCCCTTCAAAAAATATTTCTATATATGCATTTGTGAACTGTTATTTACGATATTCGTAATAATGTTTGTTTAATCACTTTATTTCAACTTTTTTTTGCTAATTACGTATTCGCTCGAACTTTGTTAAAACTTTAACTGTATACCGAACAACAACCGAAGTTGTAGAAGGAAATTCGCCTATTTTACCGATCTAGGGATCCCCTTTTCCAAATTTTAATATCA